TGCCCCCAGAGGGGTCTGCCAGGGAGCGTGGTGTAGTCGCGAAAGAAGGAGCGGGAAGCACCAGAGTCAAGAGTGAAGGTGTGCAAGGCCTCAGCAGGCGCAGTACCAGAGAGAGCAGACTCACCAGCACCCGGAGCAGTAGACTCACCAGCACCTAGAGCAACAGCCTCACCAGCACCTAGAGCAGGAGACGCACTAGCACCTAGAGCAGCAGCCTCACCAGCACCTAGAGCAGCAGACTCTATACCTGGGTCAGGCGGTACACACAGGTAACAGGCACCCTCAGCACTAGTAGGCAATGCATACATGGCAGTGAGGATAGCATCATAGTCAAGAGCAAAGATATCTACCCGCTGCCTAAGCAGCTCTAACCAGGTGGGGAGCTCAGCCTCGTCGCCAAACTCGGCTCGCCAGGAGTCGCTCAGACTGGCGAAGCAGCGGGACTGTGTGTGACCAACCGTCCCGCAAGTCTGACCAGCCCGATTACCTGTGCGAATGACGTACGGGCAGCGAGCGGTACTCCGAGACCCTCTCTGGGCGTACCACTCACGAAGCTGCTGGGGCGTAAGGGTCTCGTGCAAACGCCGCTGGAGCTGCATCTGGCCGCTGCCAGAAGCTCCCGTCGACGCAACGGGCAGGGCAGGGCGGCGCGGTGGCCCTAGGGTGACGCGACATGCAGGGCAGGGCGGCGCGGTGGCCCTAGGGTGACGCGACGGGCAGGGCAGGGGCGACGTGCTTACCAGGAGCGGGTGCAGGGCAGGGCCCCGACGGGCGGTTAGGTAGAGCAGGGCCGCGACGGGGCGGCAGCAGGGCAGGGCCGTGACAAGGCGGCTGCAGGGCAGGGCCGCGACGGGTGGCGGCAGGGCAGGGCTGCGACGGGCGGCGAGGTCAGGGCCGCAACGGGGGGCGGCAGGGCAGGGCCGCGAAGGGCGGCTAGGTCAGGGCCGCGACGGGTCGTTAGGGCAGGGCCGCGACGGGCCGGTAGGGCAGGGCCGCTACGGGCGGCAGTAGGGCAGAGCGCGCGACGGCCCAGGGGAAGCAGGCGCGAGGCGCGCTTCAAGCAGGGCAGGAAAAAAAAAAAACGATCGTGGTGGGCCCATTAAAAATAAACGTTCCCACTAGGGAACCTGCTCGGAAACCATGTGAAAGATAGAACGAGGAATGGATCAACTAGAAGCAGGATGGGTACAAGTAGCTAACCCTAATATGGGTTGTACCCCATATGGGCTACCCCACTACAGCCTACACAACAAGCAACACGTAGTTTGTCAGCAGGATCTCGGGAAGACCGACGGTCGCCCAGTACTCGACATCGTCTTTGGCACCAATCGCGGATTCGTCCCACTGGCAGACCTCCGCGGTTCCCTAGCATGGAGATGGAGCGGCCACTTCATCGCCGCCACTACGCTCCAGTTTGGAGATGTAGGCGTCGAAAGCCGAGTATCCACGGGGAGAAGTAGCAGACTGGGCTGACCGTTGATGACGACGTTAGGAGGAGCGGGATGAGCAGGAGGTGATGGAGGAGCAAGACGCGCTGGAGGAGTGGGCGGGGCTGGTGGTGCAGGAGGTATGGGTGCTGGGTGACTCTGCCACTGAGAGTAATTACGGGTGTCGTTAACAGCAAGTCGTCGGCTAAACAAGAAGTGTGTGAAAAGAAGGCCTGCCATGGCCAAGGCAGGCCAAAGGAAAACGAAAAATTGAAGGAAGGGTGTGAATGAGGCCCATTTGAAACTCTCGCCCGAGACCCCTTCAAGTTCGCGGCCCGGGTTCCTTTGCAGAGAACGAGGGGACACTGTCAAGATTCCCTTGCAGAGAAGCTGAGGTGGTCAGCTTCTTGCCTCGGTGGCGGGGAATCTTGCCCCGGATGGTCACGTCGTGGCTGTACACTGACATGATGTGGACCGTATGCAACCCGGATTCAGCAATCGTGAGTCGAACTGCGTATGCGCTGGCATGGGCGAGATTCATGTTCTATGAACCTGGCCAGGCCAACAAGACGTGGAGGGCATGATTGCAGGCCTTGTTTGCCGATTTACGCGCCTTTCATGCACAGTTCTGAAGGTTCTCGATTTGGATTAGACCCCTTTTAAAAATGCTTCAAATTTATGTTGAAGCAAATTACTTTCATTTTTACCAATATATTTGTTAGAAATGTGAGATCCAGAAGGCTCTATGCGCTTTGATTAAATTACAAATGATGGACTCCACGGGATCACCTCCGAGGGTCCTTGGGTGCTTGGTAAGCCAGCCCCTACATCGCAAAATTGTGGCAGTGGCTGGGTGTTTTTTCTGAAATTGAAGTGGATGTTGCTGCTGTTGTAAACTTCTGGTAGCAGTTGTTCACCGTGGTCGCTTGTTCGTGGTTGGTTTCTGCCTTTTCATAACCCGTTTTTGACAGGGAAACAGACGTGTAACGGCTTGTTGACTCTTCGTGTTCAAACTCCAACCATTTTTTGTGAACGGTTCAGATTGTTCCGATGTTTTTGCTGGGTTCGGCTTTAGGTCTGTTTACACGCTAGATTGTTGATCTTTTGCCTGTAACTAACGGACAGGATTTTTGGAAGTCTCTCGTTGGTGTTTGAGTCCTGGTCAACACTTTCGCACCAAATAGTAAACTTACAAAACGGTTACCTCTCGGCGTGTATGAGACTTGGTTTGACTGACGAAAACATCATGATGTAACTCAAGCCTCGCCAACTCAGAAACATTGCTATTGGTCGCGCTGAATTATGGTTGGGGAGAAGGGCGATAGCGTGTATCCCGTTAGTTTTGTTGTTCCTGCAGTAGCGATCGATGGTATTGGCTGTCGAAACAGTTTCGACCGTCGCTAAAAGCAAATTCAGAAATGAAAATATGCGCGTCTCGAAATGTGCGACCCGGAATTCAATTACAGCCCAATGTGCGACTCGAAATTCAAACACGGCCAAAGGTTCTGTCCTCGGCCTTGTTGTGCATAACAATGTTGTGTAGCATCATTGAGTCACACCTCCAGTTACCCAGAATCTATGTAATCTTTTGCATACACAGCATAAACTTTGTAGTTTTTTTTTTTAGCTCAATGGATTGTCCAGATTGTGGCTCAGGGCCTTACCGCCAATCCTGTTTAGAACGTCACGGTGGTAGCAATGTATGCAGAATCACCGCTGCACTTAGAGCACCAGCAGAACCCTTGGATGCTACACCGCTCGCCGCTCCAGTTCATAGGCGTGGTTTTGGGGAAGGCTCAAGCCGCTTGTGAAGTCCATCCATGACTCCGGCAGCAGTGACAACATTTTCAAGCACTTTGTCTGCTCCGAGTAGGTGATGCCCGCAATCTGTAGCTTGGCGTACAAGTCCCGCATCTTGTTAAGAACGGGTTGAATTGGCTCCCCTTCACTCAGCCGCAATGACGCCAGCTCACGCTCCAGCATGAGCGTTGCCACCACCGACGTTGGCGCGTGCAGTTCCTTTAGCACCGCCCATGCTCGTGGCCCATTGTCAACTTCCCCCAGTAGATGCATTACATGTGCCCTCTGGTTAAGCTCCAAAGTTTGCGACAGGAGGTAGTAGCCGGTTGACGCACGTTCGTCCCATTCTTCTTGTAGGACGGGGTCGCTCGGCCTCTTCTCCTCTCCCGTCGTCAGCTTCAACAAGCCGACTTGCCGAAAGTACAGCGGCATTTTCCACGCCCAATCATCGTAGCCACTGCCGTTGAACTTGTCGACAACGAAGTTCTTGAGCACGTCCTTCAACAGTGAGCCCCGGCTGGTCCGCACTCCCCTTGGCGCTGAACCACCGTCATCTTGGACTCCAATGTTAGCTCGTGCCACAGATCCTTCGTTTCCACTCGACTCCATAGCGTTCTAACGGCAGTCCTGAGAACCACAGCTCTGATACCACGTGTTGACCGCTATTGGGACCTAGAAGGTTCTATACACCGATAAACGCACACTTAATAATCTCCACGGGGTCACCTCCAAGGGTCCTTGGGTGCCTGGTAAACCAGCCCCTATCCAAGGGTCCGTGTTTGTAGAGAGAATTACTAAGTATAACGTTAATCGAGAGTACTAGAGTAGTCCCACTCTGAGTTGCGCAGCGTTGACGATCAATTGGGTCGTGTGCAGAAATAGCTCTTCATGTCAATACGTTGATACGTTAATGAAGCACAAGCACACGTTTTATATTTCGTCTCACATACAAGCAAAGGAAAATAGCGAAACGGTTATTTAACTGCATTCTAGAATTTCGCCTTGCTATCTTGGAAAACGGTTGCTCAACTCCATGCGAATTTGGCTTGATTCTCCTCTTGAAAATACCTGTCTTCAAATTCCACATATGACAATTACCTTGCTGACTCAAATGAGTGCACTCATGAGTTCCAATTTAGCTCCAATTTGGCACTCATGAATTTCATGCGAGCAAACAGTTGTAAAACGGTTTTTACCGTTGAGAAAACGGAATAACCGTTTTGTACCTGCGTCGAAATCATTCCGCAAAGCGGTGTGACTTTCGTGCGCAATTTCTTGTTCCGTGAGTCAACTCCGAAAAACAAATTTTCAACTGTAAATTCCGAGCACCCTTCGGAATCCCGCAGCACCCACTCGAAACACACGCGCACCCCTCAGGTGCGCAATCATGCACGACCAGACAAACTGGTCGAGCTGTACTGCGCGTGGGCAGGGCGATCATTCGCCCTGTTCTGTTGCGATCGTGGGCCTTGCTACGCTCGCAACAGTGCGCGAGCACACGCTCCGGCCCTCAGGGCCCACACGCGAAATCAGGACCAGACGCGCGGTCAAGATTTTGCGTGCTTGACCAGCGCGAAAGTCAACAGCACCCCCTTTGACCAGTCTAAGTATCGAGCCCCACAAACACCCCACGATACACCACTCGCTCGCATATGCCACGCATGAAACATAGCAAGCAAATGGGACTTTCATGGGAGGCTCATTTGAGCCTCATTTGACGGCTTCGCATGAGCCTCATTTGAGTGCTTCGCGTGAGCCTCATTTGAGCGCTTCATGAGAGCCTCATTTGAGCGCTTCATGAGAGTTTCATTTGAGCTCATCATGTGAGCCTCATTTTAGCGCTTCATGAGAACAGTGAAACTGCAAATGAAAATGCACTAACACAAAATGCAAGTATGAATGAAAACGAAACACACAAAATGCAAAAACGAATGCGCACAGAACACACACAAAATGCGCACACACAAAATGCAAAATGAAATGACATTTCTCACGCCACAAATTACCTTCAAACAGACTCCCCATTTTCTTTTACCGTCTTCGAATAGGCGGTAGGTTGACGTGCAAACATTCATGCCCTTTTCCCATTCAGATCATTCCCTTTCACCCTCTGTCCGTTCCCTTCCCCCCATTCCAAGCATTCCCTTTCCCCCCTCTCTCCGTTCCCTTCCACATTCCCTGCATTCTCTTTCTCCCCCTCTCTCCGTTCCCTTCCTCATTCCAAGCATTCCCTTTCCCCCCCCTCTCTCTATTCCCTTCCCCCTTCTGTACATTCCCTTTCCCCCCTCTTGCCGTTCCCTTCCCCATTCCCTGCATTCCCTTCCCCCTCCTCTCTCCGTTCCCTTCCCCATTCCAAGCATTCCCTTTCCCCCCCTCTCTCCGTTCCCTTCCCCCTTCTGAGCATTCCCTTTCCCCCCTCTCTCCGTTCCCTTCCCCATTCCCTGCATTCCCTTCCACCCCCCCCCCCCCTCTCTTCATTCCCTTCCCCATTCCAATCATTCCCTTTCCTCCCCTCACTCCATTTACATCCCCCTCCTGACCATTCCCTTTCCCCCCTCTCTGCGTTCCCTCCCCCCATCCGATATACCCTTGCCCCCCCTCTCTCCATTCCCTTCCTCTTTCTGAGCATTCCTTTTCCCCCCTCTCTCCGTTCCCTTCCCCATTCCCTGCATTCCCTTCCCCCCCCCCCTCTCTTCGTTCCCTTTGTTGTGCCAACACACTATAGTAGCACGTTCATCGCACTCCCATTCGGAATTTTGTGGGGAGGTGCTTCAACATGTGTTCTTCACACCCTCAAAGTTTCAGAATTTTTGAAGAAGTTTACAAGGCATGGCAACATTTTTAGTTTCAAGACTTATGGCATCCCGGAAGTGTGTGTTACTCTTTTTTGGTAACACCCGAGTTCACCATTTCGGCTGCTGACTCATCTACCAAGCTCTGATTGGTCTGAAAATAGTTGTGGCATTCCTTTGCCGTGTTTTTCATGTGGTCACCGAGTTTCAAGACAACCCAGCATCGGAGGAGCATGTGACAGCTGTCGAAAGTTACTGTTCCGTAGTCATGGTGCACTGTTGGCAGCATTTCCCTTGCCACCCTTTCATTGTTGTCATGCCAATGGTGCAGGGACAGAGAGTGAGACAAGAAGTACAAGTGGTCAAGTGGGACTCTACCACTCTCCTTTTGAGAAGTGTGGTCTTCCTGAAAGCAGCTTGCAAGAGGGTGCAAGTGGGAAGACAAGCTTACTCATGGTTGCCTCGACACACTATTGGTAGCCTTGAGTACAGCTCTGAACATCCAAGTGTGGTTGGCTTTGCTGACCTAGCTAGGACGTTTTCCATCCTTCTCTAGCCTTCTCTCTTGACATCCGACCCCCTCCCTTCTCCTCTCTGCCCCTCCCTCCTCTTCTCTGCCCCTCTCTCGGCTTCTCTGACCATCACTTGCCATCCCAGTCCCTCCCTCCTCTTCTTTGCCCCTCTCTCGGCTTCTCTGACCATCGCTTGCCATCCCAGCCCCTTCCTCCTCTTCTATGACCCTATCTCGGCTTCTCTGACCATCGCTTGCCATCCCAGCCCCTCCCTTGGCTTCTCTGCCCCTCTCTCGGCTTCTCTGACCATCTCTCTGCCCCTCTCTTGGCTTCTCTGCCCCTCTCTCGACCACTCGATTCTAATATATGCGTGTATCGCTTTCCACCCATCCCTCATGTATGGACAGGGGCACTAGGGTGCAGGACCAGTCCGGACACTTCTTCACGGCATATCTGGCACTCTATGGGTACGTCGCTGATTATCCTGAGAAGTCACTGGGTACGAAGTACCCATGTTTGTTGTGCAAGGTCCACAGGGATGTTTTAGCTTCCTTCTCTACACTGAACGAGTATCGCACAGCGCAAGAACAATCCGGCATCGTGGAAGCCTTAAAGGCACGGCGGCGTGGGCAGCCATATCCCCAAACCTTCTCAACCCATCCTGTCCATGTAGGTTGATCGCTTTATGAACGCCAACCCGTGTTTTCATTTGAGTATCAACCTAGACACTTATATCCCTGCCCTATTCTTTTCCAGTGTGCACTACACGGGTTTCGCTTCGAATCGAAGTTTTGGGGCAGCCCATACATGGCGGTGATGCCGGGTTTGATGCACCAAGCCGACCTCGGGATGTATGATCACATTATTTTAGCATTACATAGTGTCATTGACAACAAGCATCATGCAACAATTGACGGGTATGATTTCTTGTGATTACAATCTATTCAACGTCAATAGTGATAATGTGCATAACTATTATACGTGTCTGATCTTACCCCCCGCTGCAGAATTCTTAAACGCTTCAAAGAATCATGCAGAATTGACGGAATGCGCCTCCCATCGGGTGAATACATCCGACTAGGAGTGTCATTCCAAGCCTACGAGCATAGGTCTGTCATGCAGATCTTACCTTTCCTCATCCGAGACTACGTACAGCAACCACAGATGGATGATGTTATGACATATATTGAGTGGTACCACACATGTGGTAAGCTCAAAGACTACACCGAGGACAACTTTACCAAGCTGAAAGACCTTTCCAAGAGGTATACTCACTTTCAAAGTTTCCAATGCCCTTAAACAACTATAGTCACCCTTACGCACTTTCCTTGCATATGTTCATAGGCTACTTGAAGTGCTACATACAGCACTTCCATTGTACAAGTGGGGATTCATCAAGGCGCATTTGACACATCACTTCGTTAATGTCATTCACCGTGCAGGGCCTCCAATTCACTACGAAGCGAGCATGTTCGAGTTCTTCCACAAGGACCATGTCAAGCGACCATACTGTGCCTCAAACAAGCGCGATGCCAGAGGCCAATTTATTCATGCGGATGAAATACAACTGCAATTGGATTCGTTGCCACAATCATGTGTGGTAACAACGACTGAATACAACAATGCGATGCGAGAGGTACGTATGTGCTGAATATGGTCTATTATGCAACATCATGGCTTTCACAGACGGATCTAAACTTTATGCATCAAACGCATGCACTCCAGGCTGTGAGGACCGGCAATCGCACATTTTTGATAAGATCTTGGGGGATAATTGTCTTGTCAGGGCGTCAAGAACTTCCATTTGTGGATTTCGTCACACCAAACTCCAAAAGAGACAATGACTATTTGGATGCGCTCAAAGAAGACATCCCATTCCTATGACGCTCATTAAATCGTGTCGGGTCGAACGGACGAGACGTTTGCACTATCTATGAAAGTGTCATTCTAAAGTGCATCCCCGTTCAATGCATTTTCAGCACACCAAACTGGCCATGTAGTCCTCCGGGTGTACAGGTTCACATGGAAATGGCAATGCCAGGAGCTTCAGATGAGGCTTTCATTGACACTGCTAACCGTATCTGCGCTGTTCCTCTTTTTCACGAAAAGGTATGGTTCAGCGACGTGGAAATTTGTGAAGAAGGAAACAAAGAGTGGTACGGTAAGGTACTCTTGCTATTCCATATTGGTAATGGTAACCAATGAAAAGATTATGTGTTCACAACACCAACAAGGTTTGTTTGTTATCGAATGCATCCTCTACACATTGCAGGTCTGCAGTCATCGGTATAGTACCGTCCTGCGACACCTGACTGGACTGTCCCAGTGTCGCACGTCTCGCTCTCATCAAACGATGCAGCGCTGGTTTTGCATCAACCAATTAGAAGTTTCCAACATTTTGTGAACGAATGTTTACGACCATAAAGCTGTGGTCGTTTCATGCTGGCCCAGCCCGCACGGAGCCGCGCCCTATGCTCGGAACTCTTAGTGACCAAAGTAGCCCGAGGCCGATCTAGTGGTGTCTAGCCCCAAGGAGGGGTGACTGGGCAGAAGGAGCTGGAGGACTTGTGGAGGAAGCTTTGGAACAAGTACCGAATGAAAGCGGGTGGGCAGAGGCAAGGGGGAGGTTGGGATAGGGGAATGGGGGACCAGATAGAGGAATGGGGGACCGGAGGAGTGGATACCATCCCGGCAACTTCGGAGGTCGCAATGTCCCACAATTTCTTGCCTGATGGAAGTTCTAAGCTGACCACTGGTTACCTCTCCCGGAGCTCTATAAGCAGATGCCTTTTTCGTGTTCATACAGTGAACAATTATCATGCTTATAAACTTACGCTGTCTCCTAGGGTCCACTCAACTTCAAGGGAAGAACAATGGCAACGATGCATTCTCAAGGCTTCTCGTTTCAAGCAAAGATTTCGCACAAGGATTCTTACAGACAAAGCAAAAGCTATTACCTAGACGCGTGGCATTGTCAAGGCTTGGGATCGCCATGGTCGTTTTAAGGACTATAAAAAATGTCACAAGCATAAGTGGAGTCATAAGCTGAAGCTTTCAGATTACCAGCCAGCTTTGTCTCTCCAATTTTTCATCATGCCGCCTAAGAAGTTGACAAAGCCAGCTCTTAAGTTGACTCACGAGCTAGCGGAGTCCCCTAAGACTGCTGATGTGACCTCTCCTCATAAGGAGGCTCCTGGTGATGGGCTGCTGACTCCAATGCAACCTGGGATAGAGCATCCGGATCTGCAGGCTGTGGATCTGGTTCATCCGTCACTGTCAGCCCGTTTATCAGCCCTCAAGGTCAATGGCCTTAAAGACGAGGTTGAATAATCTGCTGATGACAACGAACCTGCGGCTCAGTCCACGCTTCAGGACTCCCCGGCGCGCTCTCCGGAAGAAGAGCTTTTTGATGAACCTGCGGTGCAGGACGAATATGAGGGTTATACTAGCGACGATCCAGATGAGGAAGCTGATCCTGAAGCATTGAGCATTATCGCTTCAAAGCTGAAATACACGCTAACGCTTCTTGTCCCTTTCAGGCACGAATCAGAAGTGCCTAGGACGGCTGATACTGTCGCGGCTCACCTCGATCATTGGAAAGAGGACTTATCTGCTGAAGCTCAAACCACTACGACATGTCAGAAGCTGACACCGGCCTACCTCTCGAAGACGCGTTTCGGTCGTCTGCAAGTTGTCTTCACCTCAAAAGATGACGCGTATTATGTCAGGCAGAGGAAGATTGAACATGTCACACTTAAGGGGGAGACGCTGGAGCTGAGGTGGCAGTTTCCGAAGGACTCCACGTACGTTCACCTGCGCGCACTCCATCAGCAGGCGATTGAGGTGGTGTTGAAGGGTGTCCTGGCGGAAGTGACTCCTGATGTGGTTAACAGCCTGCTGGTGGAGGTGAAACTTGTCAAGAGGGGAAAAACGACATACAAGGAAGGGTTCGGCTTTCACCGTGTCCAGGATCCAATCACGGGGCTGGATACTGACAAGATACGCAGCATGGTGGTTCAGCACGAGAATGACCGCTACCGGTGGCGTCATTTCATTGAGGAACCGGCGAAGCGTGGGAAGAAGATCCTGCTGCACTTCCCTTCTGTCACATGTGACTTCTGCAACGGCCATCACCTGATCCGCTACCACGACGACTACGGCAATGACCGTCAGGCTAACATTGCCAAATGGAACCTCACGGTTAAACGTATCCATGAGATCAACGGTATTAAGGACGGCTCACGTTTTCCTATCCGCGATCCACCTCAGTTTTTAATTCCTATATACTGTACTGACTCACCTTTGTACTCACTTACGCGCAGCGGCCTCTCTGGTAGTCACAGACCGCCTGAAAGCCATCTTGAAGGATCCTACGATTGTACTGGTGTCGACCAGAGGATCCCGCGAGGACTGGGTGTGTGTCCAGGATGCATGCGAGAAGGCTCATGGTGCCAGTTTCGAACTTGCTGCGGCGCATGTAGCATCCTTCCGCCACAAGTCCAACCGCACCAAGGCAGGAGCTGCTACCCGTGCAAGCAAAGGTGCTCTAAATGTTGCGGCTCTGAGGAAGGAGTTTTTCAAGTGACCGGCTGCTGGGGAAAGAGGGAGGCAGAGGCATCAAGAAGGAGAGATGAAGCGGTTTCCATAATAAGGCTCACAAAGCTAGCTGTATCCGGATTTGCTGTGGCTGTATCGGCGGTAGTTGCGGTGTCTTGTTGTTTGCTGCTTTCAACGCGATCTTATGACCCGTGGATGTTGTGGGGTCTCCAGGCAGTGGTCAAATGAATACACCCAACACAATCAAGTTAAGCGTGCTCAATATCAACGGCTTGGGCAGCGCAGGGAAGTGGAATAAGTGCTGGAGGTGGTTAAGTAAAGCTGCAGATGTAGTGGTTCTAACCAACTCAAGGATAAGGGAAGATCACAATTTTTGGACACAACTAAGACCCACGGCGGTAGCCTCAGCATCGCCTTCACAGAAAGGCTGGGGGGGTGGCGGTACTGGTTTTATCACCTGAGATACAGCTGCTGGATGTGGTGAAGCACGTGTCAGGAAGGCTGATCAGTGTTGGCTTGCGATGGAAAGAGCTGGATCTGCGACTGGTTGCAGTGTACCTTCCGGCGCAGGCAGGGATACGCAATGTCTTCCTCAGGGACTGCCTGTTCCCCTTCTTAGACGGAATGCCTGCAGCAACATACACGATGCTCATGGGGGATTTTAATCTG